GTTGTTTATTAAATTATAGTTTCCTTCAGTACAGTCAATCTTGTGGTTAAGAGAAATCAATTTATTATTATTGTGTTTACAATCATCTAAAGTATACTTTAGAAGATTGTAAGAATATTTATTTAAAAAAACAGCACGAGAAGGGAACAAAATTAATTAAGTTGAAGAGAAAATAAAATAGGTTAGGTCAGTTAGGAAAAAATAAGATAAAATAAATTTGATGTGCTTGGGCATTTTCAGAATTTTTGGCATTTTTGGCCTCGCCCAGCTTTGCGTAGGCGAGGACTAGGTACTCAGTTTGTCTGTCATTACCCGAGCCACGCGTAGGCGTGAAGCGAGGGTAAAGCAGTCGTTTTGTCTGTGTGTGTGTTCGCTTGATCTCCACTTTTGAGCTGACACTGCTTTCTTGTCTAGTTCTCAAGAGTCTTATGATCAACACTGGCTCTAGAAAAAGTTATTCTCCGTCTTGAGAATGCTATATTTTTCTTTTCCATGGATAAAGAAGCTGGCAAAGTCGCCAAACGTAGGTCGGTTCCCCGACAACTCTTTCATAGTGAGAGCAAAAGAGCAACTGGGCAGATAAAACAATAAAGCAAAGCCTCCTCTTTCATTATTAGTAACGCGGTAGCGTTACTAAGTAGGATTCACCCCCAAACAAAATGGCTGCCACGACTTTTGCAGCCTTGCTATACTGGGAAAACGAGCTCCTATGCTTACCAGACTTTATAGAGGACCTTATCTTGACCAGAGGACTCCAATGGTACAACTAGCGTGGCTCTAAACCTTTTCTAAGCGAAAAGTCAAAAATCGGCGAACCGGCCGTTTTGTTCAGCCACCTTTTTTCAGGTAGGGTCTCAAAAGCGGACGGACGGACGGACCCGCCCCGCCCGAAAAAGGACGGACGGACGGACTGATGCGGACCCGACAGGACCATAAATAGCCATGTAAAGGACAATCATTCATGGATAGTCTGTCTTTAAAACACTTCTATACTTGGGCAATAAATTTATGTACGTATTAACTATGCTAGGACCAATAGAAGAGGCACGGTCATGTTAGCGAAAATTTAACTTTATCAATGCAAAATTGCTACTACAGGCTGCATGAAGCATCACAATACTGAACCATCACTTGAATTCTATTTGTTATTCTTAATAGGAGTTTAGTGACACCATTTTAATGATTTTTCTATATCATTTGGTGCAAGTCTATAACTTCAATCAATATATTCAAAGAGGAATTACCATTTACAGTGAATATAAGCAGGAATACAATGTAGACTATATAGGATGACTATTATTAAATAAAAACTGCAATTTTTTAGAGTAATAATTATGTTTTGTGTATTAACAACAGCAATCTTTAGTAAATTGGTTGCAATACTTTTATGTAAGTTATTTCATCACAGCTGTACAAATAATATTTATGTTTTAACACTATAAAATTAGGATTATATATGATGTAAGTGAAGTTGAATCTATTGTAATGCCTTGTCATGTCAGAAGCCACTAGATTTTAATTGTAAGTTTTTTTTTTAATTTAAATGTCTACAATGTTAATAGCGGATTTGTATAGGATATTAAGCCTCATAAATCAATTTTTAAATTTTAATTCTATTGAAAAATATTTTACTGTGACAAAACAAGCAAGTGCTGGTATGAATCAAAATTTTATTTGAATTAATGTTTTGTTGTTCAAATTGAATAGTGTGTTGTCAATGTATTTGAAAAAAGGTAGGGGTGCACACGCAGAAGTTTAACTTTTCAGACTATACAAACATACTATGAAGTGGTATGTACAAACTTACAAATTTTAGTTTATTATTGCAACAGTTTGTACCCAAACAAGACAGTTCCATTGACTGTGGTGCTTATCTGTGCAAATTATGCATATCTAATATGTTATTGTTAAAATTAATTGACTTTTAGTTTGCCTATACATCATACTGTATTGTGATGGAGTGTTCCGATATGTTGTCCAAGTATAAATTCTATATTGTAATGGTTATGCTCTGTCATAACATTGTTTATTAGATAACTTCAAAATTTTTGAGGCAATGGCTTATGACTCTCATGCTTCACAGTTTCAGGTACAATTTGCTATTGAAATGGAATATCATTTTTATATAGGTGGAAGACAATAACTATTAGCGTTGCAACCAGAGTTGCTTAGTGCTAAGCAACTCTTTACAATGATTTACAAGCATTGAAAAGGGATCCGCAAAAAAAGTGTGGCATTCCTACCCCAGGTATGACAAAAATAAATATACTAGAAGTAATTATAATTTTTACATTTATTACGTAGGATAACTACTTTTTAGGCTGGATTCTAAAGCTCAATATAACTACTATTTCAAA